GCGCGGCCCGCAGCACCGAAGTTAAACGGTTGCAAAGGGGACAGGCGGAGGGAGAGGACCGACATGCATCCCTGCCTGCATGCAGGCAGCTCCCCCCAGCCTGTGGTGTCTGGGCAGCCCAGAAATCCTCCCTGGCGAGGCCCCTCTCCGGCACAGCATCTCTGTATCAGCGAGAGGAGAGGGGCAGCGCCGGCTGCAAAAGCACCCGCTCGGTGCATCCCACTAGCCTGGACGGTGCAAGGGGCTTCCCGAAATGAGGTGAACACAGCCCCTGCACGGGGCGGTGGGAGCCCCATCGGGGCGGCGTGGGCTGGAGAGAATGATGGTGCATCACTGGGTGATGGTCCCTGACACCCACCAGCCTTGACCGGTGCCACCAGGCCCAGAGCAGCACCGAGCCTGGCTCAGCCTGGGCGAACGCGGTCCGAGCTGGGAGGAGGGAGCAGCGAGGCGGCAGGAATTAACCTGTCAGACAAACCCCTCTAAAAGCTTCTGCGAGCCCTGGGACCCCTGCGCAGGGACGGGGCAAAGGTTTCCTAAACAGCTCAGCAAGACGGGGCGGCTGCCGGGACCCCGCGTGCGGGCACCACCACCCCCAGCCCCGCCACACGCAGACCTGCCTGTGCAAGGCTGCAAGGGGAATCCAAAGAGCAACATAAATATAGCACAGAGCCAGCTTTTTCTAATCAAATCCATTAAATCATCCCAACCTGCTTGCAAGGAATAATCCAGACAGGAATAACAAACCAACTGCGAGTCTATTTTGCTTTTGCTGGTTGGAGGGGATGCAGAAAGCATGGATTTGGACCCCAACAGATGAAGGCAGGGAACCAGGATGAGGGTCCCTGAGGATGCTTCGGTGCAGAAAACACGACCGTGCACTGGGAAGAGCCCGGCGCCAAAACCGGCCGGTGGCCACACGCAGGCTGGGACCCAGCCCCGCTCGCCAGCCCCGCTGGAGAGGATCCAGCCCCCTCCGGGCTGCAACTTGCCTCCATTTAACAAATAAAACGCCTGATGGTTGACAACAGAGAACTGCTCTATGTAAAGAGCCTGTCAAGGGAATTTAATGCAGATGATTAAAATCACCCGAATTGTGCTGGGACCTGGGCAGCAGCTCCGCGGACGCCCAGCCGGTGCCTTGGCGTGCTCGGCGGCTTCGTCCTCGCTCGGCATGGGATGCGAGTGGGACATCCCTAGGCTGGGGACGAGGACGGGGACCCCGAACAGCACTGAGCTGCATGCTCCACGCTGGAGCCGGCTCAGGAACAGCCACGCCGGCTGCCGAATTTATTAGGCAGCACCCGAATAGCCGGCACTGTTTAATTCCCAGCTGGACCGGGGAGAGGCAGCCGCAGGGGGATAAAGGCTTTATTGTGTGTTGGATCCGTGCACCAGTGCGAGACGCAACCTCTGTGGTGGGGCACAACGCTGTGCCATGCCACAGGGACCTGCTTTTCCCGAGGGATTGCGGGGCTCCCTCGGGTCCCCGCCGGCCATCGCTGTGGCTCTCCCTGCTTTTCCACTGATGCCTCCTCACCACACAGCAGTTTCCAGTGCGAGGTTTCCAGCCCGCCATGCACAACCCAGCTTTGCAGAGCCCAGGTGATCCTGGGGATCTTTGCCCATGCGGGAGCACCCCGTGTAGCTGCACTGAGCAGCACGCGCTCCTGGGGAGCACCTGGACCTCTAAAACCCACCGGCATCCCCTGGCATCCCCTTAATGAAGATGCTGCCGGTCCTTTCCAAGCTGAAAGGAGGCAGGAGCAGCTATAGACGGACAAACCCCCTCCTTGCATGGGGGGGGAACGTGGCATTGGGCCGGGGCCGCGGGGGCACTCACCACTTTGAAGTCTTCGGGGGTGCATTGCTCCCCACGGAAGAAGCAGGACAGCAGCATCTCCCGGATGTCGTGGCCAGCCCGGTCATAAAACTCCAGCATGTTAAAAGGTTTGGGCTTGAAGTTTCGGAAGTTCGCCTTGTCCTGCAGGATTTCCAGCTGCTTTTCGTCGGCGGTCTGGGTGTCTGGGATCTCATATCTTAGGGGAAAGAGCAGGCAGAAGCTCAGGCCTGACCACGGCAGCTGCTCCCGCCAGCGAAAGCCATTTGGGCTTCACATGAGCTACTTCTGTCCCGACCCCGGCGTGGGCTCAGCAAAGTCCCAGGCACTTTGCACGTGGCATTTTCAGAGCATTCAACAGCACAAAGTGGCCCAGAGGCACATGAGAGGCGGCAGGAGGATGGGCAAGGAGGATAAGCTGGGCAGCGGCAGCGGCCACGTACCAAACCCGTCCCACTTGCCCCAGAGCTGGTCCCGCAGCACCGGCCCTGGTTGAGGCCAGCCCAGCCGCCTGCCCTGTGTCTTTGGTGGCATCACGGCTGCAGGTGGTGGCCTGGCCGGGACGTGGGCTGAGTGTGCTGGGTCTCAGCCCCTGGTCTCATGGCTGCAAACCCCTCCCCAGGGCACGAGTCAAGGCAGCGGTGAAGCCCCTTGGCAAACGGCACAGGCAGGGAGTGCGCCTTGCTGCCGGCACCAGACTCACGGCAGTGGCTTGGCAGCACCCACTACAGCCATGGAGATGGGCCGGGAAGGGTGGGCGAGGGGCTTCCCTGTGAACCCTGCCACCGCAGAGTCCCGCGGCCCAAGGAATGGCACCGACCTCCAGTCCTGGTGCATGGGTGATGCTCAGTGGCTTCACCTGCTGGCATCCCTGGCCTCACTGCATGTGTCAGACACCCAGGACATGATGTCGGAGCCATGCATGCTGGATCCGCCCCGCAGGCATCCCAGGGTGGCCCTGGCCTTGCTGCATGTGCCGCGCACCGGGGATGGGCGCCATGCGTGCCGGATCCATCCAGGGCAGCCCAGCGTGGGAGCCACATACCCAGGAGCAGTAGCAGGACCTGGTGGCTCTCAGCTGCCGGTGTTACCACATAGTGGCCGCATCCAGCTGCAGAGCCAAACTAACTCAGGATCCGCTTCCTCACGGAGACTAAGGAGATGCCGCCCATGCCAGTCATGGAGTGCACCTCTCCAGCACTCGCTGCCCCACGTGGTGCGGGGCTGGTGTGGTGGCTGGAGCCACACGCGGTGGCCTGCCCTGGCACACAGAGACATCACCTGGGGCCACCTCAAAGCACCAGCACCCACCTGTTATTGAGCAGGGCGAGGAGCTCGCCGGCGTGGTACAGGTCATTCTTGGTCACCCGGCTGAAACGAAACTCGTTGAGGTTGCAGAAGGTGACGGCGGGGAAGGTGAGCCTGGTGGCTGCCACCTCGTCCAGCTTGGTGACGTGGGGGTAGAGGAAGTAGTACTGGATGCGGTTGGTGCAGACGAGGGCGAGCAGCGCCAGCGAGCCCAGGAAGCACAGAGCCCAGACCACGCGCTTCAGCGACAGCCGCTCGCACGAGA